TTTGTGTGATTTTAAGGATCTCTTATAAATTCCCCATATTCCCTTTAAATTGTAAAAAAAAATCAAGATTTGACATAGGTCAGAATTAAGAGGATTAAGTCATAGTGTGTCTATATCTTGACGTGCTTGCTTTATAAGGTATTCTGAATTTCAGACGTATCCACTTTGAACTCTGGATTTTTTTTTCCCACAATATGGAAAATTAGTTCTGTATTTTATATACAGTATATTTTATTTTTTATTTTATTTTTTTAAAAGATTTTATTTATTTATTTGACAGAGAGAGAGAGATCACAAGTAGGCAGAGAGGCAGGCAGAGAGAGGAGGAAGCAGGCTCCCTGCTGAGCAGAGAGCCCGATGTGGGGCTCGATCCCAGGACCCTGAGATCATGGGCTGTGCCGAAGGCAGAGGCTTTAACCCACTGAGCCACCCAGGCGCCCCTACAATATATTTTATATATAGTAGCTTCTTTTTCTTCCAGTTTGATTGCTCTTCATGTACCCACATGTAATTTTTTTCTGACCACTTGTCAATTTATAGGGGTAATTTGGAATTTTATTTACTTCGTTTTATAATTTCAGCAATTTCACTAAAGAAATTATTGAGCAACACAAGATCTCACAATGATGCCTGCATGAAACCATTAATTACCACAATTCCACTCCAAATTAGTACTGATCCAGCTCTTTGGCCTGCAGTTAACCCTCTGAATATATTCTAAGCCTGGGGACACTACACTTCCGCAACATGTCATGCTTGCTTTCCCTTGGATGGGGATGAGGGAGGCAGTCTCCACTATAGTTTCTTTCAAAACTTAAAGAGTTCCCTAGAAGGGTTATTACCATACGTCATTATCATTCTAATACCTAAAGGCAGCCCTTTTAACCAGAACTGATAGCAAACTGAAATGAACAGAAGTAATAAAATTAGAAAACAGGAGAGAGATGGGACAGCTACCCGTGGAAAAAGGGATTCTCTGCCCATTTGGCCCAGTGCTATCAATGGCCATGCTACCAGATCCTAGCTCACTTATTTGATTCCATCACTACACTGAGATCAAGGTCATATGCTGGATCCCCACGTGAGTCAAATGGACAGCAGTCTCATGGTGAAAAATTTGCCCAACCTCTCATAAATACCATCACTTGTCCTAAAGGGATTCATGAAAGTGAATACAAACCAATCCATGCAAATTCATCACCATTCCTGGAAAAATAACCAGGAAAACCCGATCTGTGAGTCAGTCCATTGGACAAATTTCATTTAGGATGAACACTCTGATGGTCCTGGGTTGGTCAGATGTGAGTAAGAAACTATGCTCTGGGGGCGCCGGGGTGGCTCAGTCATTAAGAGTCTGCCTTTGGCTCAGGTCATGATCCCAGGGTCTTGGGATCAAGTCCCACATCAGGCTCCCTGCTCTGCGGGAACCCTGCTTCTCCTCCCACTCCCCCCTGCTGTGTTCCCTCTCTCACTGTGTCTCTCTGTCAAATAAATAAATAAAATCTTTAAAAAAGAAAAGAAAAAAAAAAAAAGAAACTACGCTCTGCTACTTACTAGTCCCGTGTGTAACCCTGGACAAGTTCATTTTTCAGAGTCTTATAGATAAAACACATCAAGGGTCTCAGGTAGAGTATGACACAAAAGGGATGCTCAAGTAATGTTGGCCCCAGCCCCTCCCAGACATAAAACCGGGGAGTTAAGAGCGGAGGGACGGAGCCAGGCTCTGGAACACACCTGTGTTTCAATCCCAGTTTGGAAACACACTAGCTATGAAACACTGGGCAAATGACAGCCTTGTCCTTCTCATACAGCTGGGGAGTATTTAGGTAATGCCTAGCACATGGCAAATGTTTTTTAAATGTTGGTAAGACAAAGACATTACTATCATCACTATCTGTCGATCGGTGTTTCTCACAGTGTGGTCAGAGAACTACGCATATCAGAATGACCTAAGATGTCTGTTTAAAAAAAGAGGGGGGGGCACCTGGGTGGCTCACTTGTTAAGTGTCTGCCTTCAGCTCTGGTCACGATCCCAGGATCCTGGGATCAAGCCCCACATGGGGCTGCCTGCTTGGCGGGAAGCCTGCTTCTCCCTCTCTCACTTACCCTGCTGTCTTCCCTCTCTTGCTGTGTTTCTCTCTGCCAATTAAATAAGTACATTTAAAAAAAAAAAAAAAAGACCCCATGTCCCACCTTCCCAACCTATTCAAAAAAGCTCTTCAACAGCAGTGCCAGGTAATACTCATTTCTAAATCAGACTTCCTTGAGATGCATTCTAAAATTTTAGAAATTAGGGACTCAGTTGGTTTTATGTTGGGTCACAGTAAATTAAGACTTGTCTTCTAGTACTTACTCTTTACTATGCTATGCTAGGAGAATTACCCAGGATCTGATGTTTTCCTATTTTGGCTATTTTTGCATCTAAACATTAAACTGATAGGTTCACTTACAATTTTTTCCCCCAACAGCACTATTCTGACTTTTCCTCCCCTCTAGCCAGGAGCCAGCAAACTATGGCCTTGGTCTGTGGCCAATTTTGCACAACCCCAACTTCCAGAGGAAATACGTGTTTAAAATGTAAAAAAAAAAAAAAAAAAAAAAAAAAAAAAAAAAAA